TATATATAGATATATATATATTGTAAAGATCACTTTTTTTCGCACGCAGAGATCACTTTATTTACCGAAGTATATTTTCTGGTTGGTTAGAAACCTGTAGACTCGTGAGCATTTTTATACCAATAGGGGGCGCCACACGCCCTCAAAAGGTTTCGGTCCAGACTCCCATCTGAGATAAATTGCAAAACAATCAAGTAAAACATTGTATGTATATATATATATATATATATATATATATATATATATATATATATATATACACTCGAACTTACTTGACCATTTCATCCTGGAAAGGTATACCAAGATCATCGCATAGACCACGTAACGTAGCCTGCATGCACGAAAAAATGTCCAATCAAGATATACAGTCCAGCCAATAATTTATCTTCTTCAATACCACTTTTTTCACGAAAAGGATGGATATTTTTCAAGAAATGAAACTACATTGAAAGATATTCTAAACATTATATTCGTATAAAAGAAACCGTAAACTTTAATTTTTTTACATTTTTTTCCTATTAAATATTTACCTATTGTTTTTCGTAATAAATTAACTAAAATGTTGGATTCGCCACGTCACGCATGCAAGTAAAAAGTTTGAAAAGTGTTCGAAACCTTTGGATCTTCTCTGAGTAAATCTGAATCAATGACATAAGGGGTATTTCCTCGACTATGAAGGTCACTGAAAATGGAGACCAAGCTATCGTACCCCAAATCACTTAATGATGGTGGAGTCTCCTTGTCATATGATGTCTGAGACACATGCAACACATGTCAACGAAATATATATATATATATATATATATATATATATATATATATATATATATATATATATATATATATATATATATATATATATATATATATAGAGAGCTCTATCGTTTTACCAATACGGCGAGGGGATTCTTATCAGAATGCAGTGCTTTCCTCTTTCCATTAAGTCGTCTGGTAGACCATGCAGACGCTGAGTAGCCATGTGCTGTATGAAGAAAAAAGGCGAAAAATTATAAGTCTTAAGCCTAGTTATTATATTTGCTAAATTATACAATTTAGGGTAAGTTACCGAAAAAACCGTGAAGTGATATTTATATATTCGGTTAATCACCAAAAAACCCCTCTGACTAAGAGTTGACCAAAAACTACCAACTACCTTGCAGAATCTGTATTTCTTCTGTCCGGGTCCGAAAATGATGTCTTTCACAACCTTATCTCCATCAGATTCCTATTCATGACATAAAATAACATTTAAGAAACATAATATACAAGAAACGTTATATACCTATTTTCCGGAAAAACAAAAGTTAAAATTCAATGGGTGGATATTAGTATTACATTCCGACTCACCATTTTTGACAGGAGTTCTTCTCGGTAAGGTCTTTGAGCTCCCGTCACACGCAAATAATTTGCATAAAGGGGTTCGTCTAGCACTTCCGTATCATCTCTCTGCAAAAAAATTTAAAGATTACGATTTCCTGCACATTTATATATTCACTTTTATGTTCATCATTCGATAGGAATTCAGACTCGCGACATTCATTAATGGCTAAAACCAAGAAAATTAAGGTGGTATGAATTAAATTCTGCATAAATTGAAAACATCATTGAACATCGTAGCATTGACATACGTGCAAGTATCATTTTAATTATTACATAAGGAGTTAAGCTCACGCATTGGTGTTAATGTCCTAAAACAATAAAAGTAAATAAAAATACCAACACGGATAGGGGTGGGAATTGGAACCGAATTTCCAATTTTTTTTCACCTAAAAGTTACACTTGTAGTATCAAAATATGATGTATTTTATAGGAATTTTTCCAAATTCCACCAACTCCTATAAAAAAAATCGACTGTGAAACAAGTTTTTTTGTTCCAATTTCAGAAATTCCAAATTCCGATTTTCGAATTGGGATAAGTTATCCACTTCCAAAAACAAAAACTGTAACTTCACCAAAAGTGTTAATTCCAATTCAATCAACACCTTTTTCCACCACCACTAAAAATTAGCAGAAAGTAGAAACTGAGAAACCACACACACAGTGGAGAGAATTCACACAGTACCTGAGCAAAAGAATACATGAGAGTGGTACTCGCAGACCTTCGCGTACACCACAAGTGAATCACCTCAATCTCTCGCTCCGCCATTGTCGATTTTTCTCCGCCCTAATGAAAAACAAAAAAAAAATAATTACAAATCAATCGGTAACTGATTTATACGAGGGTTTGGACTAATTTAATTGGGGGAGAAAAAAAAAATCAATTTCACTTTACCTTCTTCAGCGGTGGGCTGACGACAGCTAATTGCATCGCAGTAAAAGATATTGGGGATTTTTTCCATTTCGCGCAGCACGTGATTCGTGATTCAATCTAGACCTAAAAATGGAACTTTTTTTTTTTTTTTTTTTTTCTTTTTTCTGTAATTAATTTCCCCCACCCACCGAGTTTCGTGGGTTGGAAGAATCAAAAATGTGAATAAAGTAATTAATATGCACGAGAACTGGGGAAGAATAGTTATGGAAACAAATATATTCATGAGAATCTGTGCGCTTGATTCTTCGAGCAAAATCGGCGGGAAAATTTGTGATGATCGTGACAGTATTTACTATTTAATCACCGAGTAAATTGCAAATACCACCCTTGTGGAATACTTAATTCTCAAATACCCCCTTGTCAAATAAAAATTCACTCAGACCTCCTTTTGTCCTTTCATCCTTGGTCAACAATTAAACTATCAATTGGTGCAGTGTGCTTGATAAATATTATACAGGGAGGTATGAGTGAATTGTTTTTTACAGGGGTTATTTGACAATTAAGTATTACAATGGGGTGGTATTTGCAATTTACTCTTTAATCACCAAACAATAAGAATTAGGTTTAATTACAGTTTGCCATTTGTATTTTGCCCTTTTTGCACTTTATCATTTTAACAAAAATAATTTGCTAAATTCGTTATTTTGACTCACTTAACCATTTAAGATGAATATTCTGGCGAATATACAAAAAAAAGGTATTATTGCACGATCACACCCAAAGTTGTTATCTATTGCATTCCAAAAGGAAAATAAATAAATTGCAATACGAAATATATTACATCTATGTGGCACGAAAAACTTCAACTTCTTAACGTTTCTATTTTTCGGACACGTTTTGTGTCCATCGAGGACTCATGCTGGACACTTTATAGGTCATTTTACAATTTCTTACAAGTTAGAAACATGTTTGAATAACAAATTAAAAAAAAAAATTGTTGCTTCCATAATTAATTACATGATTTAGTGATCACTTGCAAATCGATAGTTGATAATAATATTATGTTGAATATATTTGTGTGGAAGCAAATACATTCCCAGTTTTCTGTATTGTTGTTTCCGTGTTCCTGCTACACAACATTACACCAATCTTGAAATATTTATATGTGAAATTTAAGTTACAAAATATTACCTCCGCTTCTAAATATGTGTGTTTTTCACATTAACATACATTATAAGAATTTCAATAAATATGTCTTGATTTTAGGAAAATAGGTAGTGATAGGCCAAAATACCCTTATTTACTAACTAATGCAAAAATAATGTTGGAGAGTTAATAATGCTATAATTGAAAAATATGTAATTAATTTAGCATTGAAATTGTAAAGTAATGTATAAAAGAGACAAATATTATGGAAGCGTGGAACATCATGAGTAACTTTTGCTACAAAATATGATAATCGCAATCCACTCACAAAATCACAATCGAGTAAGTTACGTACAACAAATTACAAATTACAGAACCCCGGAAAAGTTGATATCATCTTGCACTTCCGAACAACAAAATCAAAGTCAACAAATCAAAGCTCCGACGAACTGTCGCCGTTGATTTTATATTAATCAACTCAACTAATTAGAACTTCATGCTAAAAATTTTACTTGTTTCTTTTTATTCGCCAAATGCATGTCTACAAAGCACCAACAACCGACAATATATGTATTTAGGCGTGCGTGTGCAAAGGTCAATTACACGAATTTATCTGCCCAAATATTAGCTAACCACCAAAACATTTTGTCAAACACTACTACTACAAAACCACTTGAAAATTCAATTAAATATAACAACATGAACAAAACTTACCAAACATTGAAACAAATAAAATAAAATAAAAATAACCAAATTCAACTCAAAAACGTGGTTTCCATAACTCAATCTTCTAATACACTCCCTCCACAAACAATTGATTAACAAGACACATAAATAGAATACCCTCAACACAAAGGAATTCCTCAAATACAAATTAAAAAATGCCAACACCCAAGCACAAACCCCTAACCCCCAAACGCCCACCCCCGCCGCCGCCGCCCCCCTCCTCGAACGCGGTGGCCCCGGACAACTCCCCGACCACCCGGGCCCACGCGTCCCTCCAGCAATCCCCCCACAAGAAGAGCGGCGGGGGGACCCGTCGAAGTCCACGAAGCTGTTCCGCCGGATGAAGTCCGTCTTCAGGTCGTTCCCCGTCATCAGCCCGCCGTGCAAGATGCCCGCGGTCTCGATGCACACGGGGGGACGCATGCACGAGGGTGGGCACATCCACGGCGGGAAGCAGATGACGGGGACGCTGTTCGGGCACCGCAAGTCCCGGGTGAACCTGGCCATCCAGGAGAACTCGCGGTGCCTGCCGCTCCTCGTGCTGGAGCTGTCGATCCAGACGGGGAAGCTCCTCCAGGACATGGGGCTCGGACTCGTCAGGATCGCGCTCGAGTGCGAGAAGAACCCCTCGGAGAAGATCAAGCTCATCGACGAGCCCATATGGACGATGTACTGCAACGGGAGGAAAGTCGGGTACGCGGTCAAGAGGGATCCCACCGACGACGACTTGAAGGTCATGCAAGTACTGCATGCCGTGTCGATGGGGGCCGGAGTGCTGCCGGCCGGGGAAAGCGGCGGCGGGGCGGCAGGGGAGGTGGCAGAGGGGGAGCTGACTTATATGCGGGCCCACTTTGAGAAGGTGGTGGGGTCCAAAGACTCGGAAACGTATTATATGATGAACCCGGATGGGAATAGTGGCCCGGAACTCAGCATCTTCTTTGTTAGGGTTTGAACTTTTATATTACATTTATATATATTTATATATATATATATATATATGGATTTATTGTTTTGGGTAATTGTTTTAAATTGTGACTAGAGGTGGAGTAAAGACTATAATTTATCATATTGATGATCTTTATGAACCTAAGTTCATTTATTTATTCTAGAGGTACAATTTACCGTACAAGATATATATATATATATATATATATATATATATCTGAGGTGTGATCAAATTATGAAAAAATCCCTCAATCCCTCTTGTTTTGGTAATTACAATGCAACCACCCCATCCTTTTAAATATTTTCACATAAAATTTATGTAATTCGGTTATTTATCGAACCAAATCGTATATTCAGTTCGGTAAACGGTATGAACTGTTGGCGTACCGAAATTTCGGTTCGATTTTACCAATTTAACATCCCTAAATTTACCTCTGGTGGATGGGTTTTTCAAACATGAGGGGGGTTTCGTAATTTGACCATAACCCAGGGGTGATCGTAATTTTCTCTAACAACAACAACAACAACAACAATAATAATAATAATAATAATAATAATAATAATAATAATAATAATAATAATAATAATAATAATAATAATAATAATAATAATAATAATAATAATAATAATAATAATAATAATGTGTGACGTGGAAATTACGTGGCCATTCATCTCCATTACATTCATGCCAACCATGGAATAAGTTGTTACAACGAAGAATATGTTAGGTTGTCACATACACAACATTTATTGCGCCAAGAAATATGATTGAACATGCATTGACCTAAGTCCTATTACCAACACAAATTTTCACTTTTGCAAATGCAATTATATGTGATATATCTACCAGAATGAAAATTTTAATTAATTAATATACGATAAATGATAATAAAATTAAATAAAAAGTGTCATCTAGAATGATAATTAGCTAGCGGTACAAACTTCGATAACGGAGTGACGGCCGGAGAATTCCGACAGAGAGGGCACGACCCGTTAACTAACAACCACTCATCAATGCATCTCGCATGGAAGCAGTGGTTGCATTCCGGCAAACACCTTATTTTCTCCTTCACGCAATAATCAGACAAGCAGATCGAACACGGGCCGTTATTGGGCCGGGGCAGTCTCCTGCTCCGGCCCAGTTCAATAACGGGGTACGTTTCTATAACGGGCTTTTCCAAGCCCAACACTATCTTGATTACGGGCTCTTGAAATTGCCCTAAGCCATCCCGCCCTTCTTCTTCTTCTCCGTCGGAACAAGTTTTGAATCGGACGCAAATGTAAGAAGCAAGTACGATTATGAAAATGAGAAGGAAAACACTAACCGCAACGGCTATGCCGTAGCCGAGGCTAACGCAGTTAATGGAATTCGGAGCACTAATCGAAGACATGAGAAGAAGATGTATGAGATTTTTTTTTTTTTTTTTTTTTTTTTTGAGGAAATGTGAATTTTGTTTGAGTTTGGAGAGAAATATATGAATGGAGAATGAGGTGAGATTCATTTCTTTGTCTTTAAGAGAAGTTAAGTATAGGGGGACAATATTTATTGAGGTTTGGACCATGTACACTATGAAGTTAATAAATGCTTAAAATATCGATAAAATTATTTTTAAAAATTAAAAAAATTAAAAATTACATGGATTCCTAGGAATTTGGCTTCTCAATATGTCTATATTTTACTAGACATTCACCGGTGTTGAATATGGACCACTGCCAGTAAGGGGGGAATTTACGGAAGCTCTAGAACAAAATTTTCGATTTCTGCGATTTTGAACCGAATTTTTTCGATTTGTTAACAATATTTTTTATTCTGAATGTCAAAAAATCTGATTCCGAGCTTTTTTTATAATTGTTGTTTTTATCAAAATTGAAATATAAATAAGATTCTGATTTTCGATTCGATTTTAATTTTCCAAAAATGTTATCTCGGAAAATTACTCTAATTATAATTTCAATATTATTATGCATTTTATATTTTAGGTGATCACGAAATCGGAACTTTCCAATTTTTGAATGAGTCTTTTCGTTCTGATTTCTAAAGTAACGATTTTTTGAAGTTTTTTAACGGAATAGAAATTCGTTTTTCACTTTAAAAAAATGGCAAATTACGGCCACCCCTGAGTTATGGTCAAACTACGAAAACCCCCTTCATGTTTGGGTAATTACAGCCACCCCTCAACTATGTATTATCTTACAAAAATACCCCTCCACATGTAAATTTATGGATGTTAAATCGGTAAAACCAAATCAAAATTTCGGTACGCAACATTTCATACCGTTTACCGAACTGAATATACGATTTGGTTCGGTAAATAACCGAATTATATAAAATTTATGTAAGAATATTTAAAAGGAGGGGGTGACTGTAATTACCCAAACAAGAGAGTTTTTTTTATCGTAATTTGGCCATATCCATTGGGTGACCGTAATTTGCCCAAAAAATCATAATTTGTTTGAAAGTGCTTATTTCGATCAGATTCGTCTGATTTGTACACCTACTTCTATACGCTTTAGAGAAAACTTTGTTTGTACTTACTTTAATATTTTTATTTTTACTCTATCAAATTTTCTAATTATAACATGTCATAACTCCAATCTATATTACAATCACCCCTAAAATTCATCATCTAATTATTTTTTAAAGACATTCGAAGTTTCATTAATTAATAATAAGGTAAATAGCACTTACTCATGTAGATTGAACTTTGTGCACATAACCTCTATATATTTTAATATAATCACATAATCCCCTTGTACATTCTAAATTTTCTTCTTCCTAATGAGCATGATTAAGTAAAATACCATAGAAGACTTATGTGTTTGTGAAGGAAATAAGACTAACTAATCTCTAACTAATAGGACCAAAATTCTTAACTTTTGCAACTTACATGACTAAAATTATGATTTTAAATTAAATATGATGGACTAAAACTCTCAACTAATAAAACTTACATGACTGAAAACTCAATTTGCCTATTTATGAAGTAGAATACCATAGGAGAGTTATGTGTTTATATTGAACGTATAAAGGAGTTATGTACACAAAATTCAAACTACAGAGGAGGCCACGTGTTTATATTGAAAATATAAAGGGCTAATGTGCACAAAGCTCAAACCAGATGGGGTTAAGTGTTATTTGCCCTATTTTATTAACGATTACAGTTGGAACTTGGAATATAAAGGACTGAAACGGTAAAATTGAGATAGTTGACAAATTGACAGTCAACTTTTGACGACTCCATAAATAGCACAGAAAATGTCAAAATTTCCAATCATTCATTCACTGCACTTGTCTCTTCGAATCAGAAAAGAATCAGTTCTCTCTCTACAATCAATTCTCTCTCTCTCTCTCTCTCTCTCTCTCTAAATAGATGCTCTTCAGCTGCAAGTATGGCGGCATCCTGCTTTGAACGCCAACTGAATGCAATCTCATGGGTATCTCTGATAACCGTCACCGCTTTTTTGCTTGTCAAATTAGCAAATATATTCGGGCTGTGGATCAAAGCCCGACCCATACCCGGCCCTCCTTGCCCTTCCTTCTACGGCCATGGCCACCTCATCACCCGCTCCAATCTCACCGGTCTGTCTCTAACTTCCATCATTTTTGTTCTTACTCTGTTTATTGGGGATTTCCAATTTTGCCTAACAAGTGTTTGATCAATTGCCTGTGCTGATAGTATAGCATGAAACTAGCTTTAAATTAAAGAAAAAAAATAATTGTAAATCTTGGACGATATTTACATGTTTAGCTAGGAAAACATTAAGAACTTTTGACTCCCATCTTATGATTAGGTCAATGGATTAATCTTATGTCCACAATTTTATCTGTTTAGATCTGATTTTTTTTTCTTTTTCTTCACGACTGTTTGCTCATTTCCCTTTCATTTTGGATTATTAGCTTTGTGGAAAATGGAATATTTGGATACAAAGTTGAATATTCAGTAATATGTGGCACTGGTGTGTAAGTATTTTGAGAATTTCCAATATTTTATATTTTTTCTTTAAATAAATCAAGAATCGAACTGCAAAGCATATTTTACATAATAGTAATAACTCAATATTACATTTTTTGAATTTGTAATAATATTTTGCATACTCTTTTAATCATTTTCGTATTGGTTAACTGTATAATTATATGGACTTGCAAATGCTAGAAAACTTTTACGATTGTTCTGTTTTCGCGTTTGTGTGATTTCAGATATTCTTTACAAGTGTCACATGAAATATGGAAGGGTGGTGAAACTCTGGCTGGGACCCACTCAACTTTTGGTCTCGATAGAGGATTCGGAACTTATCAAAGAGGTATTATGGAAGGCTGAGGATAAGTTGCCTTTGACAGGGAGGGCATTTCGTCTAGCTTTTGGAAAATCAAGCCTTTTTATCTCATCTTTTGACAAGGTTTGCTATCCCCACATGGATTCTTTTCGTTTTCTTTATTTGTCAAATATTTTTTGCTCAAAGTTGTTCTTTGCTCGTGTTATTTCTGAGATCATTATTGTATGTGTTAAGTAATTTCATTGAAAGGGGAAGTTTCTTTATAAGGTTCATTTGTTTGATATAAAGTCCCGACACAGAACTTTAAATTCCCGAAATTGCATGAAAGAAGTATGTGCTAGTGAGAGTGTGATATACACTTAAGAGGTATGGAATGAGAAATTTTCTGATAAGTAAAGCATCTTGAGGAATTTAATAATCCTATTGTCTGTATCTAAATAAACAGAAGGTATCCACTTATATTATTTTAATATTTCGAGTACTTGTTTTAATCTTTTCTCTGCAGGTGGAACACCAAAGGAAATTGTTGGAAGTGAAACTTGGAGGCAAATTGCTCGAGAGAGCAAGTTTGATTCCCGACAAAATATTTTGTTCCATCATAGAAATAGCTCAAAATGAAACGACCAAAGGAGGTATCGAATGCGAAACAATTTCGCTGAGCCTAGCTTTTTCTATCCTAGGCTCCACAATATTTGGAGACGTATTTTTGTCCTGGCCTAAGGCAATTGTCTACAAGGAGTTGCTAATGAAGATTGCTAAAGATGCATGCTTTTGGGGATCTTATAGTGTTACCCCTTTCTGGAAACAAGAATTTTGGAGGTATCAAGATTCGTGCACTCGGTTGAAGTTCTTAACCGAAGAGCTTGCAAAAGAATGCAGACAAAATTGCAACACGGAATTCTCGTGGGCTTTTGAACCGTGTGGAGAACTAATAAGTCTGATGTTTCATGGTTCTCTGACTATGGCTGCGCTCGTTGCAAATATTTTGACGAGGCTTGTTACACATCTAGACATACAGGACGAGGTTCGGTTTTTTTTTTTCTTTCTCAGTAGTTATTAAATATCGTTTCTGTAGATTGAAAATTAATCATGATTCGACACAAATTCTTAATTCGTGGTAGATTTATATTCCAGTGTATTGTAATATGATGCATGATTGTTTCATTTCAAGGTCTTACGCTATCTTTTACTTAGTCTATGCTTCTTTAATTATGTGACAACCTCAAGATTTCGACTTTAATGATTTATTATTGATACGAGAAGAAATATTTAGTTGCTACCTTTTTTTGTATGATTCAACTGCGATAATTAATTGCCAGTGGTTTTATTTTGATATCACTATGAACCTTTTCTTGTGTTGTAATAACATTGACAGATTTACTCAGAGATAGTTATGGCACAAAAAGTTAGGAGAAAAACATATGAACAGAATGTCGAGGGGATGCCCAAACTCTTGGCAACTGTATATGAATCAGCCCGTCTTCTTCCAGCTGGACCTCTATTGCAAAGATGCTCTCTCGATAATGGTAAGCTAAAAACCAATGTAATTATTGCTTAAAACTCAACACTACTTCTTTAAGTTCGGATGTTATTGAAGATTTATGGCCAAATTACGGCCACCCCCTGAGGTATGGCCAAATTACGAAAACCCCCCTCTTGCTGTAATTACAGCCACCCCTCCTTTCAAAAATTTTTACATAAAATTTATGTAATTCAGTTATTTAGCGAACCAAATCGTATATTCAGTTCCGTAAACGGTATGAAATGTTGGCGTACCGAAATTTCGGTTCGGTTTTACCGATTTAACATCCCTAAATTTACCTCTGGAGGGGTTTTTTCGTAAGATAATACATAGTTGAGTGGGGTGGCTGTAATTACCCAAACAGTAGGGAGTTTTTCGTAATTTGCCATAACTCAGGGGTGGCCGTAATTTGCCCGGAGATTTATTTACTGAAAATGAGTAGCAAGTAGTAAATGAAAACGAAATGTGAAGTTCGACTGTGGCTTCATCACCTATAAATGATATTAGCCTCTTTTAGAATATTTTTTTACTTATAAATTTTTCTTTCAGAAGTTGTGACTAATTTTGTGTTCTTTGCTTTTGGTGCTCGTTTGAAGATTTGAATCTAAAGAATGGGACAGTGATACCTGCTGGTGCAATTATTGTTGTGCCAGTTCAATTGGTTCAATCGAACACCGAAACTTGGGGGAAAGATGCTGACAAGTTCAATCCGTATCGATTTGTTTTGCCAACTGAACCAATTTCCGACAAAAAGGAATCTTTAGAAGGTATATTTTATATGCCATGTTTTTAAATTGATATAGAAGCTTCATCACTCAGTTTTTAATAGTTGTTAAGTCTGTTGTGATTTAAGCAATGTTTTACACATCTTCAGGTAATATAAACTTAAGTTGTTATTTATGTCAGGTTTCGATTCGTGTGCTATGAAAGAGCCGAATGAATTCGAAGCGTTTCTTCCGTTTGGATATGGTGCACGTGCATGTATTGGACAAAAGTTAGCTGTCCGTGGAATTTCATCCTTGTTTGCTGCTCTCTTAGGACAATACGAGGTTTCTAATTTTCTCCTGTTATATCTGCTAATATATGAATCTCTAGGGTTGGAAATTGGAACAATATTTCCGATTTTGGAAGAAAAGAAAAATGTTTCATTCCGAATTCTAAATGTTCCTATTTCTGATTAATTTTGGAACAGAGTTGGAATACACATTAAAGCCCAATTTCCGATCCAATTTTAATTTCCGAGAGTTCCAAATTTTTATCGAAATTATTATGTTTTTTTTTTTTTTTAATTTCAATTTCCGAAATTACGATTTTCGGATTTTCTCCCACACTTATTTGACTTGTTCGTGCAGATAAGGCTTCAATCAGGATCTGAAAGCAACCCGAAACCTACGATGAATAACTATATACTAGAGCTTCTTCCGAGTCCAAAGATAGTTTTTATCAAAAGAAAGTAGAAGAGTTAAAAAAATTAGGAGCTCTCTCTTTTATTCAAGTTTCGAGCAATGTGGGATTCTGCAATTTTTGGGGCTCTCTTAGCAGTCGAGCCGAAGGATGAGGAGGCAGTTTTTTTTTTGGATTCGGTCGTTTTTATGTGGAACCAGCTTTGGCTGTAAAACTGTAATTAGTTTTGAAGCGCGGGACCCACTGAAATCGAGCCCTTTTTGTTGTCTTTCCATGTTGTGAAAATTGTAGTACCTCCTTTTTTTTCGTTTTCTTTTTTCTCTCGTTAACGAGAGTTATGATGTTTGTAAGTAAAATGTACGTGTAATGTTGGTACTAAAAGAGTTGGTGTTGTGTGTTATAGTTTTTCTTCGAAGCGGTTGCATTTTTTGCTCTTAGCAAATTGATATACGGTTCTGTATGGTTGTAGTAAGGGTGACTTATCTGTCAGCTTTTCCACTTTCACCCCTAAAAAACCAAACTGTGCCTTACGTAAACTTACTAGATTACTATGAACCTCTGGATTTTGAAATCACTGCTTATATATATGATATTGGTCATAATTTACAAGAACATTCTTCGGTCCTAGTAAAAGGGGGAAGGGTTAAGGAGGTGTAAGATATCACATTGTTCGAGAAATTCTAGATGCTGTCGGAGTAAGGGATCATCAATGAGGGCGTTCTAGTGCGTTGTAGATTCATATCCAAAGACTTGTATCATTTGCTGATGCCATGTGAATTGCTAGAAATATGTGAATTGGATGGCTAACCATAGCGAAAGTTTCGTAAAGGGATTGATTTAAATAATGCCCAAATACGTTAGTTATAAAGAAAAAAATAGGGATTACTTAAATACATACATACATTTAAGTAAATTCTAATTTGAGTGCATGGGTAATTCGACTGATTCCGCAGGTAGTAACTTAGTACAAAGTTCTATAATCGAGTACTGGCAGCCCCAGTGTAGGAATTCCAACTCTAATAGAGGTTGGTTCATTGCGGGCACCAGACCTAGATTCGCTATTCTAACGAACCGTTAAGTCACCATAATTTACATTTTTCATCGAAACTGACCCAATTATAGATCGTGTGGACAAGAGATTTCGTCTTTTGATACAAGACGATACATTTGAAATAATTAAACAAATGAAAAATATAAATATTTAATATGTTAAATAAAAACCTTTTGTCTCTCTCACCAACTATCCCACCAACTTTAGTGGGTCTACTTTACCTACTTTTTTCATTTGCTCATATCATAATATGCTATGGCCACCTCTACAATCCATTTTCCACTTTTCACCCTACTCCAACTACTATACCAAACATGAACTCTTGGTCAACCAAACCTTATTATTATTATAATTATTTATTTATTTTGTGAAGGAAGATCAACCAAAAACAATTCTACTCTACTTACATTCCATGGTTGTTAATTGTACATGTATCCACAACATTTAATTTAACATTTCTTTTAAACTATGCCTTTTTTTTGGGGATTTAATTAATTATTCAGGATAAATCGAGAAAATCATAGTTTCGATCAATAATAAATCGTTTCCTGCAAAACGTTGTGCACAACAACTTAGGATATCACAGTTTTACGAGCATATCAGTTTTTTGTTAGTTTATTATGCTTCATAATTTATATCTTAACTACAACGATCAAATATAATAAAATACCGAAACATCGATGTATAAATTTTAATTAATTTAAACCAAAATTAATCAAATTTTCAGTGCTAAAGAAACGTTGATCTATAGGTTAAAACATGAAGAAGAAGAAATGCAGAATGTCCCACACATTGACGTGGACATTCTGCATTTGAACTAATTAAATACTCCATCTCGTATTATTTGTTTTTCTGAATAGTTTATCGCATTCAAAATTATTTGTTATGTTTAGATTTTTAATTAATCATTAATAGCATTATTTTCAATAATAATAATAATAATAATAATAGGATATATATGGTAGTATTCCAAAACTAGCAAATCTATAAGACAAATTACCAACTCCCCGAACTTTCTATATGTAAACTTCCCTCCACTTCCATTTTCTCTCCATCGCCATTCCGCCATGGCCCTCTCCATGGCTCTCCTCCTCCTCCTCTTCTTTCCGTTCATCTTCCTCCTCCACAGCCTCTACTACCGCCTCCGCTTCCGCCTCCCACCGGGGCCGCGCCCCTGGCCGGTGGTCGGAAACCTCTATCAAATCAAACCCGTTCGGTTCAGGTGCTTCGCGGAGTGGGCCCAATCGTACGGCCCAATCATTTCGGTCTGGTTCGGATCGACGCTGAACGTCGTCGTTTCGAACTCGGAATTAGCGAAGGAAGTCCTGAAGGAGAAGGATCAGCAGCTCGCCGACCGCCACCGCAGCCGATCAGCCGCCAATTTCAGCAGAAACGGTCAGGATCTTATATGGGCCGATTACGGGCCTCACTATGTGAAGGTGAGAAAAGTTTGTACGGTGGAGCTGTTTTCTCCAAAGAGGCTTGAAGCTCTGAGGCCAATTAGGGAAGATGAAGTTACGGCTATGGTGGAATCCATTTACAATGACTGTACTCATCCTGGTATGTTTTATGCTTTTTTTTTTGTTATTGAAGAAAAATGGAGATTTTTTTTTTTGATTTATAGTTTTGATCCGCCTGATTTTGAGTTTCTTAGAGTTAGGTTGATATTAGCAGCTTCTAATTGTCATGTTAATGTTTAAATTTGGGCTGCAAATTAATGCACTTGAGGTGCTTGAGAAAATGACATTGCTTTTTGGAGTGGGCTCGGCTCCCCTAAGTTGGGGAAATCTTTTGTCCAAGAGTGGAAATCGGAAGGATTGGATCGAAATTACTAATTAGCCCTTTCGGCTTTTACTTTTAATTTTTTGAAGGAAAAAAGTAATTCCAATTCGGTTCCGAAATAAATCGGTAAAATTGGATATCGGATATTTGGATATTGGAATGAAAAAATATGTTTTAAAATCAGAATTTTTTGGATTCGGAAGTGATAAATTGATAATGTATGCGTAATTTTTTTTCAAAAAAATCGGAATTATTTTAAAAAATTAAAATCGGGTCGGAAATCGGAATGGAAAATCGAAAAAAAATCGGAACGGAATCGGTAGAATGTTGAAGTTCCAATTTTCAACACTATCTAGGAAACTCGTAAAATGATCTCTATTCCTGAAAATGAGGCTTTAAATAATGAAGAATCGACTTTTAAGAACCGAACTTGATTGGATTTGAATCTTTGCAGCCAACTCGGGAAAGAGCCTGCTAGTGAAGAAATACTTGGGAGCTGTAGCATTCAACAACATTACTCGACTTGCGTTCGGAAAAAGATTTGTAAATTCGGAAGGTGTAGTAGACAAACAAGGACAAGAGTTTAAGGCCATTGTTGCGAATGGATTAAAGCTCGGTGCATCTCTTGCCATGGCGGAGCATATCCCATGGCTCCGTTGGATGTTCCCACTCGACGAAGAGGCGTTTGCCAAACACGGGGCCCGTAGAGACAGTCTCACACGGGATATAATGGAAGAGCACACACTTGCCCGCCAGAAAAGTGGAGGTGCCGCTAAGCAACACTTTTTTGATGCTTTGTTGACCCTTAAAGATAAGTACGATCTGAGTGAGGACACAATCATCGGCCTTCTTTGGGTAAGTCCATCGTTATACTTGGACAATTTATAAATGAGGGTTTTCTTTTATTTATGAAATCGACTGTGTGTTACTATAAAGATTTGATGAACTGTAATGAGCCCTGTTTAGGGTTCAAAATTGGAACGAAATATCCGATTTCCGCAGATTCCGACCCGAAATTTTCCGATCTTGGAACAATATTTTTTTTTCATTTTGAATTCCGAAAGTTCCAATTTTCATTTTTTTGATCTTCTTTTTTTCGGTTTGGGATCGGATCATATACGAGATTCCCATTATCAATCCAATTTTAATTTCCGAAAATTACATTTATAATCTAATTATGTATTTGATATTTTAGGTAACTAAAAATTGGATTTTTTTGAATTTCGTCAATTCGGATCCAAAAATGTCCGGTTCAATTATTCGATTTTTCAATTTATTTTTCTTCTAATAAATGGGATTGGATTTGGTTTTTTACTTCCAAAAATATTTCGAAAGTGCTAACTCCATTTTGATCCATCCGATTTCCAGTCCTAGCCCCGATAGTGTAATATGTATCATATGTTTCGGCAAACTAAATTTGGTATATTCTATTTTGTTAGCTTTATGTTATTGATGAAGATATCTTGAGAATTGTTGTGAAAGTTTTCGTGCTAACTTCCGTTTTGGGGAAAAATTACAGGACATGATCACGGCAGGAATGGACACAACCGCAATATCCGTGGAGTGGGCCATGGCGGAACTAATCAAGAACCCGCGGGTCCAACATAAGGCCCACGAGGAGCTCGACCGTGTGATCGGAACCCAACGCATCATAACCGAACTCGACTTCCCAAATCTCCCATATCTCCAATACATCGCTAAAGAAGCAATGCGATTGCACCCACCAACTCCTCTGATGCTCCCTCACCGATCCAACGCAAACGTCAAAATCAACGGATACGACATTCCCAAGGGGTCCAACGTCCACGTCAACGTGTGGGCCATAGGGCGGGACCCACAAGTGTGGAAGAATGCTTCGGAATTTAGGCCCGAGAGGTTTATTGAGGAAGATGTTGATATGAAGGGCCACGATTTTCGACTGCTCCCGTTTGGTGCGGGGAGAAGAGTTTGCCCCGGTGCGCAATTGGGGATTAATTTGGTGACGTCTATGATTGGGCATCTTTTGCATCACTTCGAGTGGGCCCCGCGTGAGGGTATGCTTGCGGAGGAGATTGATATGGGTGAGAATCCTGGTCTGGTGACGTATATGAGGACTCCGTTGGAGGCTGTGGCTACTCCTCGATTGCCCGAGTTTCTGTACAAACGTGTGGCGGTCGATATGTAATTTTGTTGATTTCCGCCAAGACGAATTAAGTGTTTACTTTTGCTATTTTACTTGCCCATGAATAGCAATTTCACCATTTGCCTAGTTTGAGTTATAATCATATTGAAATAGTAATTTTCATTTTATTAAAAGAATATATAATTTTATTTCTAACAAACTATAATTTTCATAAAATTTTACTTAAATAGACTAATTTAAATTATTTTTTACAAAGATGTCCCGACCCTAACCCCTTGGCCATCTCCGTCGCACAGCCCAGGCGGCCCTCGCCCGCTCCATCGATGGGAACCGCCCCCTGCCCAACGTTGCCGCATAGCCATGCCACCCTCGGCCACTACGCCGGCGCGAACCACCCCTGACCTAGCATCGCCGCGCTGCCTAACGGCTCCCCACCTTCACGTGCACCGCCGCGCCCAACCCTACCACCACAAAATCGAATCCAGACGACACACCTACCCACTCACCCCTACGGTTCCTACATTCATTTCCTCGGGCCACATCGCCTTTAAAATCATCTTCACTCGGCATATCCACCAAGCCTAGACACACCATATTTCAAGCAATCAAATACACAAAATATTGATAAAATTCAAAAATAAAATAAAATAAATAAATAAAAACCGAACAAGTACGACTATCGACACGATTCAGTTACACGGGTTCGACTTGGGGGGGGGGGGGGGGGGGGGGGTGGACTTAATGATATTGCTAAGTGGATTGACCCTATTAGCCACTAGCCACTTAAATACTCTCCACCTTGGGCCTGGACCTCTAAACCGGATACATGGGAACTATAATTATAGTCCGAGCCAGCCAACATAAGGGCTATGAGCTCAATACAAGCTCCCACCTCAATTAGAATTATGCCCTAAGGCGGAACTAGAGTTAGACTCTAACTACCGCTCTACCTCCAACCTAATTATAAATAGACCCCTCGACCCATTGGAAATGGAACGCTTTGATTATTCACCTGAGTTCTCTAGAATTCGTGTTACGTACTCTTCCTTTTGCCTAGATATCTGACTTGAGCATCGTCGGAAGGGTTTTCTGCCGGAGCTACCCAACTAATTAGCTCATCTGTCATTATTTTGCAGGTTTAATGCTCAAGCATCCCACTGCTCGCTGAGATGCTTCAACCTAATCTAGATCACCTACCTGTGTGCAGTAACATACTTACGTGTTCCCGTCGAATACACCCAAGGTGAGTGATACGCTTCAGTTGATAAATAAGCTATATTTTACGAACATATTAGTTTTTTGTTAGTTTACTATACTTCGTAATTAAGATCTTGAGTGTAACTATCAAATATAATAAATTATAGAAACATGGATGGAGACATATTAATTAATTTAAACCAAAATTAATCAATTTTCAATGCTATAAATAGTCGATCACGAGGCATAAAGAAGAAAAAAAATGCTAAATCAACGGAAGATTCAGAAATTTGAACTAATTAAATAGTAAATAAGTAATTAAACGTAAACAACTATCTTTAAAATGCATATAAAAAAGTTGTGTGATGTCATGATACAATGAAACGTATAATGCCAACAAAAAATAAATAAATAAAATAATAATAATTATAATAATATAATTTATTTATATAAAGGTCAGAATCAGATATAAAAAAAGACCAAATTACCCTTCACTAACTCCACAAACTACTCTAGTCTTTATATGTAAACTTCCCTCCACTTCCATATTCCCTCCACCGCCATTCCGCCATGGCTCTCTCCTTCCTCCTCCTCCTCCTCTTTCCGTTCACATTCCTCCTTCTCCACAGCCTCTACCACCGCCTCCGCTTCCGCCTCCCACCGGGACCCCGCCCGTGGCCGGTGGTCGGAAACCTCTACCAAATCAAACCCGTTCGGTTCCGGTGCTTCGCAGAGTGGGCCCAATCGTACGGCCCAATCATTTCGGTGTGGTTCGGATCGACGCTAAACGTCGTCGTTTCGAACTCGGAATTAGCGAAGGAAGTTCTGAAGGAGAAGGATCAGCAGCTCGCCGACCGCCACCGCAGCCGGTCAACGGCGAAGTTCAGCAGAGACGGGCAGGATCTAATATGGGCCGATTACGGGCCCCACTATGTGAAGGTGAGAAAAGTGTGTACTGTGGAGCTTTTTTCCCCAAAGAGGCTTGAAGCTCTGAGGCCAATTAGGGAAGATGAAGTTACGGCCATGGTGGAATCCATTTACAATGACTGTACTCATCCTGCAGGTATATGTTTTATGCTATTTTTTTGTTATTGAAAAAAATCTTATAACTCTGGGTTCTCTTTCGGATCTACTTTTCCTTTTAATTCTTCTCTCTCTCTCTCCACAACTCCACTCTATTCCGTGGTTGACGGAGTTGGTGGCTATGGTGATTGAATCGACTATGGCTCTGGAGGTGGTGGCATAAGGGGGTGGGGGATGGCAATGGTGGCGGCGACTATGGGGGAGGCGCGGCGGTACGGTTGTTGAATATTTTGATCAATACCGTGTACCTACTGAATTGAATTATATAGTATTGAAAAAATTGATACCGTTACCAACTAGGGGTGTGAACGAGTCGAGCTCGACTGTTTTGGCCGACTCGAGCTCGAACTTGAGTCCATTTTGCCGAGTTCAAGCTCATTAACTTAGTTTTTTTGGCTCGAGCTCGAGCTCATTTAGATTTTTTTTAATTATTAATTTTTTTTATTAAAAATTATCTATAGTAAAATGAAAAAAACTATAAAATAATGAACTCTAGATATATTTTTTAATTTTTATATTATTATGAATTATTTAAGTTATATAGATATATGTTTCTATTTAAATACTATAAATATTTATTATTATAGCCTATTACTATCTAGTTAATAATTATAATAAAAATTATAACATATATATATATATATATATATATATATATATATATATATATATATATATATATATATATATATATATATATATATATATTGAAAAAAAACAGCGCGTGAGCTGTCAAACAAATAAAATTGGGCTCGAGCTTGAGCAGTTCGAGTCCGAGCTGGTTTGTTGAGTTCGCGAGACGGCTCGACTCGTTTACCACCCTAGTACCAACAATTGTGGTATATCGTTACTTTCGGTACGGTATATCGGTACATGGCACTCTACCGTTAATTTTAATTTGTTATACTTTGAAGATATAAAATTATAGAAACACGATCTTTATAGATACACAACATTTTAACCAAGAACATTGGCTATGTATATGATCTTATTCGATTTCTGAAAGCTCTCGAACGATAGTAATATTACCGTTAACTAAAGTAATATTATTGTATTTACAGTAATATTATCGTGAACCAAAGTAAAATTATTGTTTTTACAGTAATATTACTATAATAGAAAGTAATATTATTACGTTAATGGATCGACAAATCAAACAAAATAAAAATGCCAAAAAAAATATTGATGTGGTTGACAGTAATAATATTGTGTTTACACTAATTTTACAGTCAACGACAGTAATATTATTACATTTACTGCTCAACAAAATTAAACAAAATAAAAAGAGCCAAAAAACTAATAATTTTGATGTGGTTGACAGTAATATTATTATGTTTACAGTAATTCCACTGTCAGCGACAGTACAATTACAGTCAACGTTCAGCGACGGGCGTAAAAAATAATGGATACAAATTTTACGAAAATAAATTGTCAACGCCGGAGACCGATGATCAACTAGAAACTGGCGGCGGAAAAAAAGAAAAAAAAAGTCAACGCCGGAAACCGCGGTAAAAGAGAAATAATTTTTTTTTTTAAAACAAAAGGTCAAAATTGATAAAATCGGAATTAAATTGTGGTTACAATTATGAATTGAGTTTAAAAGGTTGGGGTACTTTTGCTATAATACATATTAAACGGATGAGGTTATTGGGGAAAGATAAATAGTCCCTGAACCAAGAAAAATAAAGATGGTTGATTAGAAACTTATGCATAAAAACCCTTAATATAAAATAATAATAATAATAATACTAATAATAGTAGTAGTAGTAGTAGTAGTAGTAGTAGTAGTAGTAGTAGTAGTAATAATAATAATAATAATAATAATAATAATAATAATAATAATAATAATAATAATAATAATAATAATAATAATAATAATTTACAAAAAAAAAAAAAAGATCGGAATTATTTTTGAAAATTAAAATTGGATCGAAAATTGGAATGGAAAACATTGTTTCAAAATTGAAAAAATCGGATCGGAATCGTAGAATATGAAAGTTTTATTCAAATTTCCACCTCTTTCTAGGATACTCGGAAAGGAATCTCGGTTCTTGAAGAATAGTATGTTCATATCAAGCACATATTTGTGTGGGAAAGAAGTTTACAAAACCGTTTAAGTTGGGATATTTAGATATGAACTTCTCTTCTTGTATGAATGTGAAATACTATTGACCTTAGATACTATGTCAATAAATAATGAAAAATCGACTTTTAACAACCAGAGTTTAATTGGATTTGAATCTTTGCAGCTAACTCGGGAAAGAGCCTGCTAGTGAAGAAATACTTGGGAGCTGTTGCATTCAACAACATTACTCGACTTGCATTCGGTAAAAGATTTGTGAATTCCGAAGGTGTAATAGACAAGCAAGGACAAGAGTTTAAGGCCATTGTTGCGAATGGATTGAAGCGCGGTGCATCTCTTACCATGGCAGAGCATATCCCATGGCTCCGTTGGATGTTCCCACTCGACGAGGAGGCGTTCGCCAAACACGGGGCCCGCAGAGACAATCTCACACGGGATATAATGGAAGAGCACACACTTGCTAGCAAGAAAAGTGGAGGTGCCTCTAAGCAACATTTTTTCGATGCTTTGTTAACTCTTAAAGATAAGTACGATCTCAGCGAGGACACAATCATCGGCCTTCTTTGGGTAAGTCGATCGTTATACTTGGACACGTTTATAAATGAGGGTTTTATTTCGTTTCTGAAAGTGAGTGTGTATGTAATGGCCCCGATTAGGGTTGGAAATTGGAGCGGGATATCTGATTTCCACAGATTCGGGTCTAAAATTTTCCCATTTTTGGACAAAACTTTTCACCTTGAATTCCAAAAATTCCAATTTCCAATTTTCTCTTTTTTTTGGAGTGGATCTGGAAAATATATTAAG